TGGGCAAAAGTGGGCTTTTCTGATGACACTTTGTCCAACATTCGCCGTCTGTCTACCTGTCTGTCTGTCTTAAACTTTTCACGTTTTCAACTTCTTCTCAAGAACCACTGGGCCATTTTCAACCAAACTTGCCACAAAGTATCCTTGGGTTAGGGGGTTTACATAAATTTGTGAAAATGAAGGGTCATACCTTCTTTCAAGGGGATACAATGTATAATATTGGATTAGTGAAAAAATATCGGCATCGTTTGACAAAATCTTCTCAAGAACCACTAGGCCAGGAAAGATGAAAATTATTTGGAGGCATCCTCTGGTATAGTGTAGATTGAAGTATGTTCAAATCATGACCCCCGGGGTAGGGTGGGCCACAATGGACTAGGTTTAACACAGGAATACATAGGGAAATTCTATAAAACTCTTCGTTCCAAGAACAGCAAAGCCATGATTGGTCTTATTTATATGTAAGCATCCTCGGGTAGTGTAGATTCAAGTTTGCTCAAATCATATAACCCATGGCCGGGATAGGGTGGGGTCACAAGAGGGAATGGGATCAAAGTTTTACATAGACATATATAGGAAAATTTTGTTAAAAATGTTCTCAAGAGTAGCAAAGCCATAAATTTCAACTCCCCGCCCATGTAAACTTTTCAAAACTAAATTCATTTTTGCTTTCCTTTTCTAGCCAATGTGCTCAGGTGAGCGATGTGGCCTATGGAACTTTTTTCAAACATTAATTAATTGTGTGTTGTTAAATGCGTATCATTGGAGAATTTTCTTAAAGACGTAACCATATACCGGTGAAGAGCTATACTCTTCACGCAGGGCCATTAACAAAGAGGCTTCTTTATGGAATCCGGATAGGGCCATGTAGTTTACTATCGTATCATCGAGTCATCGATGCTTGGGTCGATAGTGCGATAACGTGATAATGCAATGACGAAAAGGCGATGGTGCGTTGCGATGAATCACTTTATCGCACCATCGTCATCGCATTGTTGCGCCATGACATTACCGTCATCGCGCCATCAACCCTTAGTTGACGTTCAATGGTGCGATTTTTTTTAAATTTTATTTATTTATTTTTTTTTTTTGCAGTTGGGAATTTCCAGACGACAGTGAATGATGAATTTGGACCGAGAACCCTTCCCCCAGCTGAGCATGCGGCTCGGGCCCTGAAAGCTTCCCAGTAAGTTTTATTCCGCGTGCAACGTCAAAAACAATCGATAATTGTTTCCAAGGTTCTCTCTTTAAAAATAAAACATTCTAACAAATCCACGTTGGAGATGATACAAATTGAGTGTTAATTGTAAAATAGAAGAAAGAAAACATGGGGCTTATGTCTTTAATAGGATTAAGTCCGAGAAAGGAAAGAAAGAAGATTCCGAAGATAGCGGCGTGGAGAGTTCGACATCATCATCCTCCCTGCCTGACGATCACACTCGTGTCAATCACCTAGCGGCGCATGCTCGGCAGACGACAGTTCCAAAAGTTTTCAAAGGTTCTTGAACCTTAAAGATTATTAAGAGGGCAACATTATACGATATTTTTTGCATAAAATACATGAACAAAAGCTCGAGTATAGATATACTGATGAAGGTCATGTGACTAGTACTTTAACAAATAGAAGTGCAGCACAAATGTATGTACATGCAGCTCTATACCCTAGACGGTATCATGGAGAAATAAATAATGCATGGAACAGGGTTTTCTTTAACGAAAGTAATTATCTTTTCACATTCTGACAGGCCATTTTGTTTCTTACAGACGCTTCGGACGAACGCACCTATCAGACGTCAGCGCATTTTCAGGTATTAAAGAATTACTAGAGTAATTTCCTTTCAAAATAATATCAGTATAGATGCATTGGTGAATGTTTATATTTTAATGCACTTTTTAAGTAAAAATTCTTTAAATTTGTAGTTTGGATCTGACCCTAACACGATTCACACGGTGTACGGAAAGGATTTTGCTCCCGGGTCGATGGCATCACGAGGGCCGCCACAGAAATGTCTTGTGCCAGACGCCGGAAGAGTAAGTTCGTAATACTATAGCGCATTTATAGTACTTATTTTAGTCAAGTCGGTATTGTACTAAATATTTCCCTCTTAACCTTTCCCCGGCAGTTGCTTCAGAATGACCCGGCATATGCACCAATGATGTCCACATCAAACCAGACGGACTTCAGTTACACTCCTGCTGTGCCATCCGTGGTATGTCAACATCGCTAATATCTCAAAATTGCAATCAAGTGCAATTTCAGTACAATGCATGTGTGAAGGTGCTTCAGTCACCGCTTTTTGTCATACTAAAACGTTTCTTAACTTTTTTGATTTTAGAATGCAGATGGTCTGACTCAAATGGAAGTAAACATTCAGAGGCGGCAAACTGATAACGTCATTTTCAGCTTTGATCGATCACGTCATACGTCTGATCGGCAAATATCATGTAAGAAAATAAGAATCTAAGTTTTCTCTGTGTACCTCTGCGTTAATGCAGAAAAACTAAGTTAACCAAAACATGTCTCCTTTGCTATCTACTTTCAGTGGCCCACACTGACTATCAAGGTCCACCAGCTGGGTATCGACCAATGCAGCCCATGTCTAGACCGGAAGTAGAGTTTGATTATCTTACTCCAAACGACGCCCTTCCATATCCCCCCTCCGAGAACCGCACGTCTGAAGCCAAGGTATAAATTGCAAATGTTGCGGTTCCTATTTTGCATTTTGGACACATTAAACAATGTTCATGAAAGTTTTTTTTTATCTTTAAGAACAACTATATTGGAACTTTTATGTCCGGTGGACACGCCCTTGATCGGCGCCATGCTAAGAATTCGCTCTGCAAGTCCCGCCTGGAAGACGGAAGGAGTACACACTTCACCGTGGGTTATAACCCCATGGACTTCTCCTCAGAAACGCACATGAAATTCAGAGGGGACAAAAAGAATGACGCGTACCTGGCACCAGCCGGCAAAACTGAGAAGAACGCGGCTGTCAAGTTTAGTCACGTGTCAATGAGTGAGAATACCCAGGATCTAAAAGCGGCGGATCCATTTGTTGTCAGTAAACAAGAGAGCTTAATGGCTCGTGCAGCTCACCGAGATCCGCTCACAGAGCATGCTTTTACCACCTCTGTGATGAAGGCAGACTATCCAACACTGGATAGAAGGGGGTGAGCAACAATTCTTCTTACATATTCATTCAAATAATTTTATTGAAATTTAAAAATTGCTATGTATACACATGTATTTTCAACCATGTTTAAAGTTGTACTAATTAAACCATAATTGCTTTTAAAACCTGACCAGTTTAAACAAAGAAGACAATATTGTTGCGTTTAAAAAAGTAATAATCCTACAATATTCCACTGATAATTGGGATAGGAAGATATTTTAATGAATATTCTGTTTTGTCCAGACTTACGGATGCTCAGTTAAGGGTGGTGCAGGATACAAACCAAAAGATGGGAAAAGAGATCGCTAGCTCGCACCTGTTCCATACGGACAATTCCGGAAGTCAGTATATATATAATCCTTGAACAATTTGAATATATTATTCCTAATCAATTATATCTGTGAATCCACATTAAGAGGTAAAAAAAGAAAACATATATGAACTATTTTGCCAAACATTACGTTTAGAATGCAGGTATGTCTAATAACTGTACTTTACTTTTAGGAAACAATTTTATAACCACTGCTATGGATGATTTTATAAAACCCGAGTCCATGACGGGAGGTAAGTCAAAACACATCCATATACATTATATACACAAACATTATGAACAAGACGTTTCATATTAAAATAAAATATTTATTCAATACTGATTTTCTCTTCCTTTTCAGGTCGAAAGCTCCTTGCTGCCCGTTGAAGACATTTTATTGTTAAAATATTTTTGAATTTTTTTAAAAAATTATTTATGAACTTTGAAAACCTTGTTAATTTTCATTTATTAAATTGTGGAAAGTTGATAGTAGAAACTTATTATGCTTGCATATTGAGTATGTTCACCATGTTGAATTAAAGTGAAAATAAAACTGGCTTTATTATTTATTACCCTATACGTTAACTGTAAATGATATACGATTCCCTATGGAGGAATCAGGGTAGGGTGACTGTGATCAACTATCGCACCATCGAGGTTTGATAATGCAATTTATAAATATTGATACGAAGGCGCGTTTTCTTGGCGATTCTTGAATGTTATAATTACAACAGGCCATATCGGTCGCCCGAGTAACGGACCATGCTATTCTTTACCCGATTTCTCCTTTGTTATATATTGTGACCAAATCCTACTCCACGGGTCATAATTTAGCTACCCCAGAATGCTTCCACACAAGATGCAGCTTTCTTGGCCCAGTAGTTCTTGATGAGGAGGCTTTTTATGATTTTTCCTAAATATTTCAATGTAAAACTTCCCTATCGTGGCACATGTTTCATATACATGGATCCCCCATTTATTTGTGGTAAAAATAAGTAAGGGGTATGCCCTGTGTGTGAAACAATTGCCTGAGGTATTAAAGTTATAAACGGCATGGACATATATTTTGGGGAACAATCAAAACTAGGAATGGTACTTTTTATGATAACCTCCGAGGTCCTTTGAAAAATAAAAGCCGAGGCGTTAGCCGAGGCTATATTTCAATTTCGTAAGGAGGTTATTCTTCATTCACGAAAACAAGGACTTTATTTCTATTCTGCTACATGTAGTTGCTATTCCATTTAACACCAAAGTGTAAATTTGTTTTTCTGTGAATAGAGTGCAGACAATTTGAGCTTTCGCTGCATTAAAATTAGCCTTTTATTGTTTGTAGCTTAAAAAGATTAATCTTTTTGAATATACAATAGCAAAATCAGTTTCCTATTTTACCACTTTATTACCAAGATCACGGAGTTTAAATATGGCGGAGGGAGGTTCGGGAAATAGCCCCGCTTGGCCTTACAAACCTACATTCATCAACTTTCTGCAATACATGTATACAGTGTTTAAATTGCAAAAGACGACACATCAATGTGGTTTAAATACGTATTTCATTCTTAAGTCAAATGTACATTTCAACTGCACAGGTTTTATACGTGTTTCTGATCTTTTTTTTTGATGACGTTCGTGATTTATTGGAGAATAATGTCCGCGGCTTTCCTTTGAAGTAGCCAATAATCGTAGTAAAATTTGCCGTAAAGAAAACATTCGAAATTTATATAATATGGTTTATACCTGCTCTTTGCAATGACAAATCAACACTAACCGAGTATTCAGAACTTTTCTTCCATGTGCGTATCTTGTGTTTGTGTACGAGGCTTTGTTTGTATATTTTATGAGGTAGAAACTTTATTTTTTATTCAGTTTCTCATAAAAGAACAATTAAATATTGTGTAAATAACCAGAACCAGTCTGACGGCCCTAAACAAAGATCCCGGCAAGATAGGACAACAAAACAATAATAATGATTTTATAAAAAAGTAAACAATAACAAATAATTTTTAAACATGTGTAGTCTTGAGTTATAAAATAAAATACAAGTTAGCATTACCATGTAGTAACTACAAATGAATTAGTAAAGCCAATAATCAATACACTTAACTAATGCTAGACAAGTTTTAACATGAGAAAGTATCTACATGTATAACATATACTGACTCGGTATCCACAATGAAACTAAAGACTTGAATTACTTGCAGGTATTCAATGAAAATACTACTAAGAGTACCTATGATTCTCAGTGTATAAAAATACTACAAAGGTTTATCACGATTACTAGGTCAGTACTTCAGCAATAATATCAGATCTACAGAGGAGTAAAAAAAGTACATAAAAATAAAACCAGAAGTCTCTGTCGAGACTGAAGCTCTACTGGTTTGTACTTATAGCAAAGGAAGAGAAAAGTACTTAAGCAGTTGCAATTTGAAACTTTACAATAGCAATAAATTGAATAATGATCCTTGATTATAAGTCTCCTGTGTTCTTAAGTCTACTTGCATGCCACATTATATTAAAATCAGACTAAAACTGTATTTGGAGCAGCATTTAGAGTGTATTTAACAGAAATTTCTATTTTTAATAACCACAGCAACACCTTTCATCGAAATCAAAAACCAATATATAGAATTATGTATCTTAGTGTAGTCTACTTGTGTGCCAAATTATATTGAAATCAGACCAAATCTGTAGGAGGAGTAGCATTTTGAAAGAATTTCACAGAAATTTCTATTTTTAGTAACCACGGCAACACCGTTCATTGAAATCAAAAACCGATATACAGAATTATGTATCTTAGTGTGGTCTACTTGTGTGCTAAGTTATATTGTAATCAAACCAAAACTGTAGGAGGAGTAGCATTTTAAAAAATTGTTTACAGACAGACGGACGGACGACGGACGCATTACTATCACATAAGCTCTTCTGGTCTCTGACCAGTAGAGCTAAAAAACCAACACATCAGTAATGTTACAACAATGAAATCGGCTATTTCGACCATACGGGTTCTTTTGAAAAGTCTATCATATTCATAATTAATGTTTTAATATTAGTATTCAAAAGTATCATTCAAATAACATAATGCACTTTGAAAAAGAAAATAACATAAAATTTAAACAAACATACGTAAAAGGAATGTACAGCTTTTTGTAACCAGACAAACTTTAATGAAAATATCACATATTTTACGAGAATATCATGTCAAACTTTCTTTGAAATGAATTTCGATCGGAATCGGTTTGAAAGACGTGCTACAACCTTCTACCTCATTACCCCCTTTCGATTCCTTCAACACAGAATCATTAGTCGGTGATGTTCTTTTGTCATCTATAATCTCGGAATTCGTTACTTCACAGCTTTCTGAGAATTTCACCTGAACCTCCTTCTTCTCTGAATTATCAGAATCGGGACTGTCACTTCTTGTGCGCGCCTTCATATAATGCCCACGGGAGCGGGACCGTCGATGCTGGAACAATGCAGCCTTCGGAGTGTTCGAAAGAATTTCCATGTCTTGTGACGGCTCGCTGAAGCTACTCGACGGCGGGTAACAACTAGATGAAGATTCAGCAGTCAAATACACCGTCTTGTCTACACGTTTTCTGTCGGTTCTCTGGCAGAATTTGGTCGAGGGCCAGTGGAATTGTCCAAAGCCTCCATGAGGCCCTAACACACATAATAGAGACTGGAAGAAAAACACTGCGTAGGCCCAGCTGGTAGAAATAATGATCATCAAAAAGGTGCCAAATTTTTGGTACGCCAAAATGGTCGACGGCATCATAAGTGCCCCCGCTAGGAATGTGGTTGTAGCTGCCATTGTAACGACTCCCCCCAGTTTACTTGTGGTGGATGCTACGCGAAGTTCGCTACTGAGATCAGGCGAGTTTCGAAAAGATACTCCAACGTGTAATGTCAGGTCTATGGAAAGTCCAACTGCTACTGTAATTACAACAGACTCAAGAATGTTCAACTCCCAGCCCAACAACGTCAGGGCCGCAATGGTGACGAACATTACAAAAGCGATGCTTACAATGGAAAAAACAGTAATCAGAACATTTAGAGTTGTCAGAAAAGTGACAAAAGTCACGATGAAGAGAGAGATGCCAAGAGCCACAGGAGTCTCGCTACTAAGACTTTTCTGCAGACTGAAAAAGTCCAGTTCACTTACAAACCAGCCATGTTTGATCTCGGGTGGTGCTGATTTTAATTTCTCTGTGAAGAACTGCTCCACCCTGTTGTAAAAACTGGACATATCACGAAAGGATGTAGTAAAATGAAAGTTGCTGTAGAACTCAATGATCAAGGCACTGAATCTGCCATTGGTAAATCTTGGACCAGGAGTAAAAGAGTTGTAGATTACATTTGGAGAGTTTATCAAGGATGGAATGTACAAGGGAACACACTGCATTATGTCTTGTGACTTTATTATACTTGTGTTGTAATTACAGCAGGGTCTCTGAATATTAAAGTCAGGAGAACATGGCTGCTGCATAAAAAGACTAAAGAATTCGAAGAAACAGTTTGTCTGTTCAAAGCCACCCATATTTCGATAGAAATCTGTTTGACGTAAATCTTGACAAAAATTGAGCATCCATAATTGAGCTTCCTGGGTCGTAGGATCAAAATGCTCATCAAAGATGATGTCTCCTCTGTCAGTGGGGTCAAGGTATGACCCGGTGTCTGTCGCTTTGATCCCCCACACAAACCGCAAAGGAAGCAGCTCTTGCCTTCGTTGTTGTCTTTCGAACCAAAACTGATCATTCAACATGAAGTCATATTTCTCCATTAGATGATCTGAAGAAAATACTTGGAATTTCTCTGAAGTAGGAAGTCTTAGTTTGGGGTAAAAAAATATAACCACTATTCCGAGAATTCCTAACAAGCTAAAAATCACTAACCATATAAATCTAGCGCGAATTACAAGAAATGGAAGCAGTTTTTCAAACACGATCCTGCTGCACTCTGAGAACTTATGATATGCTTGCTGTGGTAGTTTACAAATATAAAAGCACACATTTTTTCTTGAAGATAATTCGGGATTATAAAGTTTTTCACAGTTGCACCATTTTTCATAAATAACAATGGACGCCGGCATCCAAGTAACAACAAGAACAAAGTTACACAAAACAGCAGTTCCTGCGTAGATACTGAAACATTTAATGGAAGAGATGGAGCTGAACGCATTACAATACAGGGCTGCAGCCGTGGTCAGGCTAGTCACAAACATCGATATACTTCCGTTACGTAAAGTGTCCGACACTATTTTTTCTAAGTTACCATTATTACGCACGGACTTGGCTAGACTCCACACCCTGCAATAAATAAAGACGTCATCTGCTCCAATGGCAAGAATTATGATGACAGCAACGAGATTCATGTAAGGGAAAAAACCAATACGAAAGACCAACATGTACAAAATATAGGCCATCTCAAGAGACCAAAACATCATAAAGAATGTCATAATTGTAATGAAAATAGATAAACTATACAACCATATCACTAAAAATATAATAATGCCAGATACTAGCAACCACATACTATCTGTAATCAAATGCTGACTGAATAAAGTATCTTTAATTCCAAAATTAGCACCAAAGACACGGACTTCATTGCCAAAATCTTTTGGCCATGATTCGATGTGTTGAAATAGCTTTACAGAGTCCACTCCACCCACCAGGGGCAAGTACATTACAGCATACGTTAAAAACAGGTTTTGGTTATCTTTGTCTGGATGGATAAAGTTCACGTCTGCTATATGGTGAAGAATATTGTAAACTGCCTGGAATTTTACACACTCCTCGGGAATACCTGAGCAATAAAAGCGGGATCCTTGGTCAGTGTCACAGGAGGGATTCAGAGTCTTATTGTAGTAGTGTCCAGCACAACGTCTCAACAAATCCCCAACTCTTCCCACATCCTGGTCAGTAATGGAAGAACAGTTAGTCTTGCCTGATAACATAGCAACATAGTTACCCAGAGACCAGCTTAGGCAACATTGTTTACTTGTCTTTGTCTGGCAGTTTGATGTGAAAGTGGAATGTGTGCGAATATGGTGGTCTTCTATATGGCACATCTCTTTCAGCTTGGAAGCAGTAAACAAGTTGCTGCCATCAGCACTAGTAAAGACGATCCTTGCAAAGAATGAAAAGTAGCTGGCTGAAAAAAATGAAATAAATGTATTGTATAATTTCATGTAATTGTTTTTTCTTTCTCAAAGAAATGCAAAACTGGTCATTAAGTTGCTTTACCTTCAATATTGCAGAAAAAAGAATCTTTTGGGTGATGTGTACTTCTGTCCACAATATCATGCCTGTCTGGTTGTCCTGCTGGCCTCCTCTCTGATCTCGTGCTTCTCTGTCTGGTCTGGTTGTTTGTGACATATTGTATGGTTTCAGCTTCATTTCTATGGTGACCCCACTTAGGTCCTGGTTTAATTGACATCTTTCCATTTCGATCTTCCACCAGATTGTTATAGGCAACAATTCTATTTGCAATGTAAGTTCCCCTAGGTTCAAATCCCTGGAACAAGAGTAAAGACTATAATGAAAGTTTTTAGGATTTTTTTTTAAATTGACAGTTCTATGCATTGGTCATGTTGAACATACTTACAACAACTACTCCCTCCCTAAACCTGAAATGTTCTCAATCTCTGTCATTAAAACCTGTGATTTGTATGAGCCAGAATTTATACTACATGTACAAGCATAATCACATAATGTTTATGGTTATGTAATTCCAGTGAAGAATTTTTAGTTCACCCAAGCCAAAGGCTCAAGTGTACTTTTCTGATCTAAATTTGTCCATTCGATGTCATATCTATTGCTATTGTGGTTAACTTCTTTTTTTCCTTCGATTTCATCACTTTCCCAAGAGTTACTGGGCCAATTACCAGATTTTTTTAAAGTTTGGCAAGACCACACTTATATAATTCATTTTACAAGCACAAAAAAATGTCCAAGTTTATGAATCATTAGATTTAAAAGGAAAATCTTTTCCATAAGAGCATGCAGGGCAATGTTGATTGTATTTATAGTGAAGCATTTCACTGTTAAAATTCAGTTTCGATCCATATATAGCTCTCCTGGGGGTTAGATTTTGGTTCATAATATGGGGTCAGAGGTGTCAGAAGAGGAAAATTAAAAGAAGATCTGCTGATGAGGAACAGCAGTGATTCAGGTAAGTGTTGAGGCTTATAGGCCTCTTGTTTTCTATCTTTTGCCCATTGTTGGACATCTTCAGAGTCCTCAGTGCTATTGGATTTAGGAATATATACACTTAAAACTGAACTACTAATCCTATTAAAACATTCTATTTAACTGTTTTTCAACTTATGGAACTTACTGCTCTTGGGTCCTGGAAGTTTGGTATCTCCACCACAGTCAAACACAGCACCAGGCAAACAATGGCCAAACAAAGGATGCTCACAATGATTACATAGGGGTAGTGGGCAATCAACCGAGCATATCTGTAATATAATGACAGTTATTAGGATGAGAATGCAATAAACCAAGCATATCCTTGATATCTGTAAATAATTACAATGATTACAAAGGGTCTAGTGTGCATTAACCAGAGCATAGCAGTAATATTACAATTAATTCAACATGAGGCCCATGGGCCACAATGCTCACCTTAAGTTACTTACACCCAGATTTTTCTCCATATATATTCCTTTAAAATAAAGAACACATTCTGTGGATTTATCCTAATCTTAATACATGTACATGTATAGGGGTCATAATGATTTTCAATAAATATGAATCTACACTATATGAGGATTGATATCATGGCATTCGTTAGAAGATTTTTGAAGATTTTATTTTATATATCCTAATATAAAACTTGGATCCTTTAATGTAGCTCCTCACTATTCCTGGGGTCATGATTTGAACAAATTTGAATCTACATTATCTCTATTTCCTGATGAGGTTTCCATAAAATATGACTAATATATGATTCTGCTTTTATTAAAAGACGATTTTAATAGACCTTCTATACATTCTTCTTCATGAAAATTTTTAATCACCAATCGTGACCCCATCCTATCCCTAAGGGTCATAACTGGAATAAACTTGAGTTAACACTACCTAAGGATGCTTCCATAAAAATATGACAAATCTTGACTTTGTTGATCCAGAAGAAGGATTGTAAAGATTGATTTTTTTCAGTTTTCCCATGTAAAAATTTGATAGCTCTTGTTGGACCAATGCTACCTAAGGTACACAGGCACATAACATTTTATCTTTTTTTCATAAAAAAAATTTCCCCCTACTATAATAATAACAGGCACTTGAAGTTTTTAACCTGTCTTTTCAATAATAATAATTTCCCCACACTTTAACGATAATGATATTATATAGTAGGGGAAAATTTTCATTTATGAAAAGAAAGGTTAAAAACGTCAAGTGCCTGTGCTGAGGTGACATGATTTAAACCAGTTTGAATTTATCAGTTTCATCTTTTTCTGGGTAAGTGGATCTTGACAAGACGTTTTATAAACAACCCTACCCAAATTCTACTTTCTCTTCTCATATCCACTCCCCTCTTGTAAGAGGGTGGGGCCTCCATCTGAACAAATTTGAATCCCCTTTACCTAAGAATACTCTGTGCGAAGTTTGGTTGATATTGGCCCTGTTCTGGGAAAGAAACTGTGAAAAGTTTGCCAATGATAAAACAATAGCAAAAGATAAATATTGTTCAAAAATTAATAATTACAATGATTGCAAAGGCATAAGTGTGCAATAACCCAAGCATTTCCACAATATGTTCAAGTAAATATACAGGGGTAGTGTGCAACCAGTAAAGCTCTGTAAAATAATTAAGAAGATTACACAGAGCTAATACACAATCAAAATATTTGTAAAACAAGAGGCCCATGTGCCACACTGCTCACCAGACTCAAATGACCCTGCTGTTTTTCATCAGAAGAATAATTCACTCTAGATTCCTTTATAAAACTTGACCTATTGTGACCCCATCTAAACCCAGGATTCATGATTTGACAAAAAAAATAATCTAAACTACATAAGGATGTTTCAGTATCAGTATGTCTAAACATGCCTTTGATGTTCTTAAAAAGAAGACTTTTAAATATTTAAAAATTCCTTTATCTTATATGTGACAATTGATCATCCACTATGGCTCAACCTTATATCTCGAGTCAAAGGAAATAATTAATGGTGCCTTATGGAAAATCTTGTCACAAGGAATACTGATGTTATATATGAAAGCTCTAGCTCCAACCACTCAAAACTTATGGCCAAGGCTGGCCCTAGCATCAACCATTCAGATGCAATAACCAAGCTTAAAAGTTTTTCAAAGCAGGTCAATCTAAAAGGTTAAGGTTAAAGGGTCAGAATTGTACGGACCAGTTGGACACAAGGGATTGATATATAAAATATGAAAGTCCTAACTCCAACCATTCAAAAATATAATATACAAGTTAAAGGCATTTGCAGACCATGCAGTGACCAAAACAATGCAAAACAGCCTTCATAGTTAAAGATACTCGTACTTTTCTTTAATCCTAAAAGTCTGAGTTTAAAAATTAAGACCATTATCTCTTAACAAATGGACGTCTAGATTATGACTCCAGAGTTAATCCCTTTATTTTCTAAGATAAACAGCAAACAGGAATGAGTCAGATGTTCACATTTAGAACATCCTCTCTGTTTATAGCTCACTTTCTGCTATTTATCCTATTGTTTATATAAATAAATTTGACACCAAACTTTTTCAGTTCAGAAGCTACTAAGAAACTTTAAATAACTCAGATAACAATTTAAGTTTATCTTAATCAAGAGCCCTTCAAAAACATGTAATTCATCTTGTACGGTCACTGTAACCTACTGCAGCTCAGATTAATGGCCCCTCAAAAACCTTATACAACCCGATATATTAATACAACTGGCCACTGAAACCTGAGGTCAATACTGAGCTGTCAGGAGCTGCGATCTAGTGGAGATCAAATGTGGCTGTATCAGGCCAGTGTCCTCCAACTTTACATCACAGCAACTGAGGCTAATAAAACTCCTTTCCTTTTTTTCCAATATCTAAATTCAGCTTGAGTGTTTCTATTCTGGGGAAAAGATGAGGTCATTTTAGTCTGATCTTGTTATAAACACTAGAATGCTGATATCAAATGTGAAAGTATATACTTAGGCACTGAATATGAATAGTCATCAAAATACACATGTATAGTTTTTAATTTTACATGTTTATGGATATTACAAAGCAATTCATATTTATATCATAATAGCAGAAAACTTGCATATAAAATTACTTTCATTAATTCCTTTATTTAATTATTTCTATAATTATGGATATGCCCATACTGATCATAACTTATTGTAATATAAAAGTGAATCATTGGTCAATCTTAAAAAAACAGTAAACAAAATCAATTAAGGACAAGAAACAAGAGGCCCACGGGCCTTATAGGTCACATGAGCATTATGCAACAACTTTCCAGTTACAGTGTATTGAATTTGTTCATGTTTTAAGCCAGATGCTATATGGCATTCACAATTTTGAAAGAGGACCAATCATCATAACAATACACTTAGCAGTTGCTTAGCTTGGTTACTGAATACCCATACGCAGGGTAGGGGAACATAAATGCACTCCAACTAATCAGTAATATTCAGCAATAATCAGTAGTGCCCCTAACACTGTGACATAAACCCCTGACCTTAGGTCCACACATTGCACAAATTTTTAAAAGGCACCCTTAAAATTGCCTATCAAAAAATATATAAATGTTTTATAAATACAAAGGAGCAGATTTCAAACAATTAATTCATTTTCAGTATATAAGTAGGACCCCCCCCCCACCCCACCCCTGACCCTGGGGCCTTGAAATTCACAATTCTGCAAGATTAGGGCCCTTGCTCATCATCACTATACAGGTAGTTCATCTGCTTCATACCCAGAGTCAGAAAAGAAAATTTTCAAAGACTAATGTATTTTCACTATATAATCAATAGAGCCCCACCCTAACAATATGAATAAAATTCATAATTTTTAGAAGAGGCATTCTTGCTCATCATAACATGTACTTAGTGTTTATTTAATTCCTAGTTTTCAACGAATTTAATTTTCACTATTTATAATCAATAGAGCCCCCCCTCCCCCCAACACCAGAATCCTTGACCCTGGGGCCATAAAATTCACAATTTTGGTTGAGGCACTCTTGCTCATCATAACTATGTACTTAGTTAGTTTATTTAATACCTAGGAGCAGAGAAGAAGATTTTCAAAGAATTCATGTATTTTCACTATATAATCAATAGAGCCCCACCCCAACACTAGAACCATTGATCCTGGGGCCATAAAATTCAAATTTTGGTAGAGGCACTTACATAACTATGTAATTATTTAATACCTCCAAATAATTCATGTATTTTCACTATTTCTATTTAACTTTTGGTATTTCATAACTAATTATGGAGCAGAGAAGAAGATATAATGCATTTCCACTATATACTTATTTAGCCCCGCCCTAGCACTAGAACCCCTGACCCCAGGGCCATGAATTTCACAATTTTGGTAGAGGACTCAATGCTGATTACAATCATAAATAGTTTGACTGCTTGATGTCCAGGAGTAAAGAAGAAGATTTTTAAAGATTGCATTAATTTTAGTGGTTTTGGCCCCACCCCTCAGGCCCCGGGGGGGGGCAGGGATCATGAAATTCACAATTTTTGTTCCCCTTCACCCATAGATAAAAATTTGATTGAAATTGGTTCAAAATGAAAATGTTCAAATGTTAACACACGACGCACGACGGACGACGACAGACGAAAACAGATAGCAATAGGTCACCTGAGTTTACTCAGGTGACCTAAAAACATGGACACCTGGAAACACCTTTGATGGATCAGGTACCAAAGACCAGAAAGCATCTTCTGTCAACCTGTCACATCTGTCGTGAGGCAGATGGAGTATTCTATAGCTAAATTCAGTATAAAAGCAATCTCCCTGACAAATAGTATGAAACATCAGACTTAATATATGATCCAACAATAGGCTTTTTTTACAACTTAGGTCATTTTAATGACAGTCACTATAAATCTACAAATAGCTGATGTTTTTCCTATTCAATATTCATTCATAAACTCCAATCTAACACTGACAATCATTTTAACATAATTTTAACATTATCATTATATCTATTTGGATGATATTATATCTTTATCATAGCAATTATTAACTGGTAAACTAAAGTTTACTCTGCTTGGTTTCCTTTTATGAATAAAAAAAAGGAATGAAAAAAGAAAATTCCAGCTTGGTAAAAATTCTCTCTGCTTTTGAACGAAACATTATTTTCTCCTTTACCAAGGGAACTTTTAAAATAAATTTGTTGTTGTTGTTTTTTTTAAATAATCTACCTAACTCAAATGATGACCTCAAAGACTTATATTACTCTTAAAAAGCCATATCTTATTTAAATAATGTAACACAATTCAATTTATTAATTTTGAGTTAAATAAATAAATAATTTAAAAAAAATATGATCAATCATTCAGTACATTAAAGATTTTGTTTTTCTGAATTGCATTCCATTAACTTTTGTGAATAACACAATGTAACGAACTTATAATTTATTCTTAATAAAAAAATTTGACAAGTGCCTGTTTACTGTGTGATGGAGTCCCCTTCTGCTGTCAGTGTAACCACAAGATTACTCATACACCGGCTAGAGAAATAATAAAGTTCACTTCCAAAATAAAAATCTATAGAAATGTCCTACCTTGTCATTCTGAGGTTAAAATCCACAGTAAATTCACAGAGACATGACTTCTACAATAACCCCTTAAGAAAGTCCTCCAACGCTGGCATGAAATTTAAATGTTTCATGACCCCTGGCCTGGACAGGAAACTGCCAGCACTTTATGGTTTACATTTTACATATCCTTCCAAATTTCTAAGTATTTGTCAACACTTACAAGGAAAAAGTTTTCACCTTGGTATGCAATGAAAAAAAGCAGTGTAATGCTAGTACATGTGGATTTCATCAGCCTTTACTATTCATCCCCGCTCTGCAGAAAATCATAAAGTAATCGGAATTAATGGAGGAGAAACCATCAATGAATCTGCCATTGTTAATCACTTTACAGTAAGCAATTCATAACTCATACACAAACACTGGAGAGTATAAAACCACCAATCATAATTGTCAATAGACATCATAAAAACTCAGCACCACATAAAAAAAAAAGATAGAATTGGGAATAAATTCCACAAAGCATAATCACCTACAAACTTCTTCTCTGTCTGTGAGGAATAATCTGATCCCAATTTCCTTGATCCCATGCGGAAGGTGGTCACAGGTAATTGCTGATGCTTATTGCTAATTCTATCTCCCCGGGAATCAGAGGGAAACTGACGTGCTAATTCCCCTAAAGCCAGCAAGCCTTTCCTCATCACAGAGACGTGAGCCCGAGTTAAGACCAGGATTAATCACTCGCTCACTCAGCTGAAAGGTTATTCCTGGTAACCGTTTCATCCAACTCACAAGGTGTACAAAATATATCAAAGGGATTCCTTGCCAACATTTCAACAATAGCAAAGGAGTGTTCTTTTAATAGGATACAAGATACATGGAACATTCCAAAAATATACTGTTTTTCCAATTATATACTTTAAATAATGACTACCAATTTTGTTGTGTTTAGAAAAAAAAGCATACACATACAATCATACACAAAAAGCAAACAAGTTAAAAAACAGCATCAACTACGTTGCATGAAACACAAGCAACAAATTGAACTCTTTCCATACCAAGCAGGGTCAAGTTGACAGTATAGGAGATATAATAATGATCTAGTCATTGTAGTCCCGCTCACACTGACAAGTGACCCCCATTGAGTTGCAATGAAAAAAATTACCCAGGATTCTATTTAGAATCAATTTGTGGCACTAATTGATAATTGTCTCTGGGGAGTCCAGATTATCAACTCTGTCTGCCACAGACTAATAAACCAATTCACCATCACCACATAATGGCCAGGCAATATTTACTGTCCACAGAATAATGGGCTGGCTCAGAATATTGTCCATATATAGAGCAATGGTCACAAACCAATGGTTAGGCTTTATAGCCTATGGAATTCAACAGGTCGGGCTATAAAGCCTACAGATTAATGATTAGGCTAAAGAGTCCAGAGAATTCCATAGACAGGTATTTATAGCCTACATTATACAATGATATTTACTATAAAACACAAAGAATTGAATGGGCAGGCTAAAGTCAGCCCATAGGACTCGATGATCATGCTACATAGCCCACAGAAATCAACGGTTAGGTTACAATCAGTCTCTATTTCCTACAGATTTGAATGTTTCGTTAAAAATGTAATATTAATGTGCTGTATCAAAATTTTCAGCAAAAAAAATCAAATAATGATCATACACTGGAAAATTAGTGATTTTGTACACTGTATATTTGAGTCTAATTTTACACTGTGAAAAATGTCTTTGATTAAGCTTTACCTTTCTTTATGCAGTGACCACTCCAGCAACAAATTTCAATCATAATTTGTTAACTGATGTGTACAAATCACAGTATAATCATTAATTTTAAGATATATTGCCTATGTTATACTTAAAGTATGTTGCTTCAGAGACAACTGAAACCCCAGCACTGGGATGTATTCAACATGTTCCAGTAGAGAGAGTTCCACAATAAAGTTAATTTTACCTCATATTGCTCTGTGTATAGCAGATGTTTGGTAGAAATCTTCAGGTTGCCTGAGGAAATCCTCCACATAACGAACCACTCTTAATCCTCTGAAGAATTCTCTCCAAGCCGTGACATTGAAGATGCACAATTACATGACAAGTTTGTCTATAAAAATAAACTTTAATAATTTAATTACTCAGTTTAACAAACAATAATATCACTCTTGGATAAATGCATGTTCTACATTAAATGTTTTGACATTCTGTCCACGGCAGGCAATTCCAAATTCTTTTTATTAGTACTTTTGTAAATGAAATGTACAGAAACCTACTAAAATTAATAGTACCAAGGCCACACTTCCCACACATCAAAATTATGCATTAAACAACTGACCTAACATTATAAAGAGATACATGTTTATTTACTGAATCTTGACCTTGCATGACCTTTGATATCACATGTTGAGATTTCAGAGAGAGATATCAGATTTATACAGTTTTAATGTCAATCTGTGTGGAGCTTATCTGATGCGTTAAATCGGAATGAAAGCTATATTTACCTGAGGTGGCTGGTGGGCACAGGAAGTGAATCATCATTTCTCCATCAGAGCTATGTAGTTATAATTGATCGTCACCTTGTACAGACTGACCTGTCAGACTGGAGCGCAACATCAACAGACGCCTGCAACAGAAATCATACCACTGATAGATAAATAAATATACTCCAATGACAACATATCACTGATAGCCAAATGTATATATACTCCAATGACAACTGCAGCAGAAATCATATCACGTACTGATACTCTGATAGTCAAATGAATATACTAAAATGACAAAAAATATCACTGATAGATAAATGAAAACTCCAATGACAAAAACAATAATCACAAGATAAGCTTATTATAGATTGCATCTTTCAGTTGATCATCCATTTTATTATATAAACTTGATTTACATGATTGGCCACATGAGAATTATCACAAAAAAGTTGACAAAAATAATAATAATCTTTGTGCAAAATTCCCCCTAATGATCCGCAGGTCCTGCATGATTATCAAGTGTAATAAAATGACTTCTATACAGTTAAAACAGATCACTCATCCGCTATTATTTTCAGAGGAATTACAAGACAAGAAAATCTTCACATCATTCATCACTATACATAAAGTCTTAACCCCCCCCCCCCAAAAAAAAAATAAACTCATATACTGAACAATCACTGTCATTTACTGCATGTCAAAAACATAACCACTGTCATTAGTATAAAGCCAGAATCTGTAGCTATAATTATAGCTGGAGAAAACTGCCCACACTTCAGCTATGATGAGAGCCTTTTGGCAGATTCCTGTCAAAAGTGATTACTAATCAGGATTATCTGCCTTAAAATGATGGGTAATCAGGGTTTAATAGTGATAAGCACTTCCATCCCATCACCCCTAGCTTCACAAGAGGAAGTTTTCAGTAGGATCCAATGGCCTGAAAAGAGGAACATTGTTTTTCCATAGTCTATCTCTGTGATTCCGAAAAAGAGGCACACTGCTTTCTCTTAGCCTATATCTGACAATTCTTAGAAAGGATATCCTCTTTTAATTGCTTAAAATATCAATCAACAACTATTCCTCAAATTTCTCACTCATAAATGTTTCTCAGTGGTTCATTTGTATATTTTTCTTAGTCCATATAAGCCTAGGCCTGGCATCATAAATACACTGTAGTGCTTTCCAAGGTCCTGAAAGGTAGTCTTTGATGTTGACAGTCTAAACATGGCAAAATTATGGTGTCCACTTAAAGTTGCATGCTCTTAAAGCAAGAATTTCCTTATAAATATGGCCATAAATCAGTGTATATACTTATGCACACCTTAACCTCTACAAATAAGTGTAAAACAGTACTTGATTGCTGTGATTGTTCTACTGAATTGATTGGTTATTCCCTATGGGTTTCCGTCGGGTATGTGTAGGTGTGTGGAGGCGTAAAATCTGCAACATGATGCAAAATACTGGTCTCCGCAATTTGTACGACTAATTTACGGCAAACCAAGCCCATGTACTCAAGACACGATCATCATAACTTCTAACAAAGACACAGACTTAAAGGTCTGACATACCACTCCATTCCATTTTATAAGACCATTAATGATAAAAACAAAGTCAAGTCAGCTTGGTCTCCTCACTCTTTCTGTCACTGGCTGTTCATTTAAAAGCCAACGTCTTACTTCTAGAGATCCATCAAAACCATAAAAACCAAGCTGAAGACAATATTGGCATTGTTTACCACTTTATGTCTCCCTCTTGGCTTTGTGTCTCAATTTTTCACACAATTAGCTCACAAAAAACAGGTGAACGCAGATTTTTTATTGAATTATCTAAGAATATTTTATGGTGTGATAGTTGTCTACTGTCTTAAATGAACTTTACAATCTCGAACCTTCTTCTAAAATATATATATAAGAGCTATATACCATGGTATTTTTAGTCCTTCCAAGTATTAATGTGTAAAACTCTGCATTGGGAAAACAATTGTTACATTATCATAAAGACATGTTCCTGAAGAGTGCAAGCTTGCTCCAATACAGCATGAATTATTCTTTTGATAACCAATAGGACTGAAAATAGTATCCCATAAACTCTATCATAATTGAATCATTTTCTTTATCCTTGAATGTCTTTATAAGATGACACTAAGTCATCCATCCTCTTATTCAACCCAGAAGCATATTTAGAAAAATGTCAAAATACAGTCAAACTTTGTTATCTCAAACTTCATAGACTTGCAGAGATATCCATGGATTCCAGATATAGAGGGTAAAGTACTTAAAGAATAAGTGGTTGGGACATCTATTGATCTAAGCAAATGCCTGAGAAATCTTGCCAGATTTAGAGCTTTCTTGACTTCCTCACAAAAGAGGAGAACTGCAATACTAGATATTCCAAATATCCATGATATTCAAGATATCAGTATTTGAAAGACCGAAGTTCATGCATCTGTATAAAGGTTAAAACATTTCTCTTCCATTTATCAAAATTTAATCTCGACAACTTTTTATATTAAAATTGCTTTTATATCCTCTACTTCTATTACATGTAGAAAAATATCATTAAACAGTTTTTTCATCTATTTACTTTTGACTCAAACTTAGTACAAATTATATAAATTCACAGCAAACATTGAAAAGGAATATTTTAAACATGCTATAAAATGTAGATCTCTTTTCATGGTTATCACTCAAGGTTTTCAGTATCAATATACTGTAAACCAACTTTTATTTGCGTGCAAGAAATTTCCATGATTTTGCGAGAGCCTGGTCATCACGAATATTTCTAGCCGTGAACCGGTCCTTAAGGTCGTTGTGTCAACTCAACTCTTGAGAATTACCCAGCTGAGAATTAATCGTCACGAACTGGTTTACCCTCGGTAAATCGCATAAT